TGCAAAATTTAATTTCCATTTTAAGTTAAAAAAAAAAGTCATGAAGGCTGTTGGTAATTGAGCTAATTACGGTGTTATACTAACGAGACCACACAGGGAGCCCCGGCAGGTGGAGGGGGCAGCAGCCGGGCAGGTCCCAGTGGCTCTGGGCGCCCTCTGGGTGGGCCCCCAGCTGTCAGTCTATTTTCTGGATGTGGAGACTGAGGCTCACAGTGGGGAGGAGGCTGGGAGTCCTCTAGGCCACCATATGGCAGCTGGGCTCTGGGGGAGGAGGGTCCTAGAGGAACTGGACCTGCCTTGAGCCACTCTGCCAGGAGACCAGGGCCCCTGTCTGGGGGGGATGCCACTCACCACTTCCTGGCTCTGCTGAGTCCCCATGAACTCCAGGGTGACCTGCTGGGACAGCCCCTTGTCTTATTAATTAAAGACATAGACAGTCTGACCCATGTCACGAGCACAGGGAGCCTGGAGGGGCCCGTGGTGCGAGACCCGGTCCTGTCCCCACGGAGGCAGGCAATGGGCACAATAGACGACACTGGGTTGCCCAGACGTAGTGTACTGTAACACGAACGTCTCCTTAATTATTCATGAGGATTACACATTGAAGTGACATTTTGGAATCATTGTGACCATGTGACCTCACTTCACCTTAACCTCCTCTTCGCAGACCCCCATCTCCCAATATATCACGTTCTAAGGTCCTGGGGCTTGAATTTGGGGAACACAACTCAGCCCCTCACGGGGGTGGGTTAGACGAGACGCGGGGATGGCAAGACGTGATGGGACCGGCGGGTCTGAGGAGTCCTGGTCTCAGAAAGAGTGACAGTTAGAAACCAACCCCAAACCACCGCTCGTTCTCCAAAAGGTACATTTGGGGAATCTGGAGCCGCGCATGGGGCTGGGACCAGAAGCCCAAGAGGAAGGTTTATGAGCAAGACATGCTTGTTAATTTCAGTCTGGGACTTAGTTCCTCTTTTGTTTGTCTTGTTTTGGCTTTTGTTCGTTTTTTAACAGAATGACCCAAATGGCTCAGAACTATGACAGTTCTGAGAAATGCTGTCAATTTTACTTTAAAATGAGACTCGGGTGTTTTTGTACATTATTGTTTTCAATAAAACTTCCTAAGTGTTTTAGGAAGAACAATGGCGTAGCCCCAGTGAAATGCATCAGTAGATGCTTCCACAGAAAACCTCCAAGACGAGTGTCTGAGAACAAGGAAGCTTCAGAAGCCACGGCTACTGCGCCAACCCCACCGGCCCCGCCGATCCAGCCTACTTCCCTGTGTCCGCACGTTAGGTGTGCCATCCGTCCATGGATCTGAAGGGCTTGGCCAGGCTGAAGGGCGGCTCTGTGTGCATTGCGCTTGGACCCGTGCTCCATCCCCAGTCCTCGTGCTGTGTGACTTTGGGCAAAGCTCTGCCCCTCTCGTCTGGAGCAGGACGGGGGCGGTTTGGCAGAGCCATGCACATGTGAGCGTGTGCATATACATGGCACACACAGCACATGACCACGTACACGCAAAGGCACACACATACAGGCATGCACGGACACACAGTCCCCCACGTCCACACGCCTGGATCTTGCTTGGCCCAGGCGTCCTGGTGACATTTAACCATGAGGGAAATGGGCCAAGGCGGACCCAGGAGCTGGGGTCTTGCAGAACATGGATGTGAGGGCTGGGCATGTGACCCAGGACAGGTCCCTGCCCTTTTTGGACCCAGCGTCGCTGTGGGGTGGGGAAGAACTCCCAGGTGGGAGAGAGCTTTGTGAATTAGGAGGTTTCCAGGCTTTGCAGCCTCTGGTCAAACGTGGATTCCCATCGGGTTGGTCCAGGCAGGCCCAGAGAACCTGCACCTCAAACAGCCCCCAGGGCTGCTGGTGTGGTCCCCAAGCCATGGCCGAGGGAGGCTGAGTGCCAGTGGGGGTGGGGGTCCTGCAGAGGCCCCAGCAGGCGGCGCTGTCCTCCCTGGAGCCTCCAAGAAGCTGGAAGGGGCCCTGTCGCTCTCAAATCCTGTTACATCCTGCCAATTAGAGTTTATCGCTGTGGCACTAATCCCTTAAAATTAGTCATTAGCGGCTTAAGAACCATTTAGCGTCGGGTGCCCACTAATGAGTTGGCAGAAGTGGGGATCTGCCAGAAAGAGCCAGAACTTTCGTGGCCTGGCGGCTGGGACCTGGCTGGGACCACACCGTGAGCTGTCTGTGCCTCCCCGGCTCCCCGGGTGGGCAGCTCCACGGGGCCTGGACCAACTCCAGTAGCAGGTGCCTGAGCCAGCCCGGGGCTAGGGGTGTCGGCCGGAAGTGTGCTCCCCATCACACCCGGGAGGGCAGGCCTCACCTGCACCTGCCTGCTTCTTTTGGAAAGGAAAACCCTGCCATCGAGCACAGTGACCGTCCACCGCCCGCCAGCCCTGTGTTGCCGCTGGGCAGGCAGGCTGGGCCCCAGTGGGCTCTGCAGTTGGAAGGGGCCTTGGAGACCCTCTTTCTGTGGAGGGAGGAAGTTAGCGGCCGTGGCAGGGATGAGGCCCATGTCTGGGCATCTGGACCCAAGCGAAAATGTGCCTGGTGCCCACCCTGCAGGGATGGTAGAGGGGCAGCCAAGGCTCCGCCAAGCCAAGACCTAGCAGGCACCCTAACTGGAGAGGTGACAAGAGCCTCGGGGAAGGGTTAGGGATCCTGGACAGAGATGGCAGTGGAGTCCTGCAGCCAGGGGCTGCTGCCTCGTGGCATGTCAGGCATTGGGCAGGTGGTGGCCATGGGACCATGTGTCCACCAGTGGGAGGAGGGACTGTGGCACAATGCAGCCAATTCCTCGGCCCTGACGAAAATCCTTCCAGAACATTCCTCTCTTGCCCAGGTTGGTGTTGTAACCAATAGTACCCACTTGGGGGGCATCCCACGGGGCCCCTGGGCCTTGGTGCTCACCACTCCCTTGGCCGCCTGCTGGGCAGAGGTGAAGAGCTTCTGTCTCGTCTCTCTGGCCTGTCCCTTGAGGTTCCAGCTGCTGCCAGGGCCCAGCTGGAGCCCCCTCCTAAGCCATCTCAGTGAGCACCGGCCCCCTCCCACCACAGGGATGGTGCCGGTACGTACAGATTTGCTCGTGCAGAAGGGCACCCATGCCTCCCTGAAGGCTGCTGGTGGGCAGGATGAGACCCGGGGCTTGGCTCGGGCTGGCATGTCCCCCGTGCCTAGAACAGAGCCTCGCACACAGCGGCTGCTCACGAAGATCTGAGGGGACGAGTCCACTCTGAAGCCGGGACCCCCAGGAGCCTCCTCCCCATGCCCCGTGGGGAGCTGGTCCGGAGGTGCCGCTGGCTCCTGCTTGGGGAGCGGGGTTCTGAGTGTCGTCTGTGAGGCAGACGTGAGCACGCTGGGGGCTCACAGCACGTGGTGCCAGGGCCACGGAGGTCACCTCGGGCTGTGCAGGGCAGAAAGTCCCCCACACTGGGCCAGAGTCCCCATTCCAACTGGCTCATGGCCCGGAAGCCCCTTGACCACACCAGGCCTGTTCTCTCATCTGCGGAGTGGGAAGAGCCAAGGTCCCCCGCTCCCCGGCCGTACTGTGATCAAAGGAGCCAGGGGGCTCGGGGTGCTAGCAGGAGAGCCTGGTGGACTTGCAGCTGACCTTGGTGGTGGCTCTGGGGCAGGCCTTGTCTCTGAGGCCCACGTCCATGGTCCAAGCTCCAGAGCTGGACGGCCCCAGTTTCCTTCAGCTTTGCCGCGCATGGGGGCTTGGGGATGTGGAGGCAGGGGGCCAGTGTTGGGGGTCAGGGTGTGCACCTAGAGGGGACACGCAGGGCACGCGCCCCCTGGGCTCCAGGGAGCAGGTGGACCTACTCCGGCCCCCTCCCCTGCTGCCAGGGGCCCCGGAACCCACCGCTTGACAGCGCTGAGGCTACTCCCCCGGCCTCTGCTGGGCTCAGATAGCGGGCTCAGTGCACAACATGATTGTGTGCCCATGGTGAGGCTGCCCGGCCACGGGCTGGCGCCACTGACGCAGACACCAGAGCGGCTGACGTCAGGACTCATTTTCCCCATGACTGCTGACAGGCCTGGCGTGCCGAGCTGTGCATGTCAATGAGGTGGGGCTCTGGCCTCCCACACCAGGCAATCCGTCTTCTGTCCCCCCAGCCTCCTGTGCCGGGGGAGGGGGCGGACCCTACCCCAGGCCCCCCAGGCCTCCAGGCCCCCGGTCTGCAGGCCCCCTCTCACGCCCGGAGCTATGAGCACAGAGGCCGTAGTCCCTCCCACACCTGCAGCGTCGTCCCCTTCCCAAGCAGGCAGCCCCTGTCGCTGGGCCCAAGACTGGCCTGCAGCAAACTCAGCCCTGGGTGCCCAGGTGTTCACACTGCTTGTCCCAAGAGCACTAGACCGAGGATGGGACCATGGAAGGGCTGGCCTCTCTTATGGGGGCCTGGGGTTTCAGAAGACCCCCTCCCCCATGACAGGCCCGGCGAGTCCCAACCGGGCTTCCATGGGTGGGTGCTTGGAGCTGCTTTCCTGGCCAGGATCTGAGGCCGCAGACCAGTCCACATGGCAGGCAGGTGGCCGGAGTCTGGAGTCCGGGAGGCGCTGTGGCCACTCTGCCCCACCTGAGCACCTGCTCCATTTCCTGTGCAGGCAGTGGTGGCACCTGGGCCGCGACCCACTGTCCCCTGGTGTCCAGTGTCTGCCTTGGGGCCAAACAGAGGGTTGGCAGAGCGAGTCTGTCCACTCAGACACACACAGCGAGACAGGCGGGGTGGCCAAAGAGCAAAATTTATTTCATGAGGAGCAGGGACGTCGGCCGGCAGCCCACACTGGGGAGGGGAGACCACACGGCCCCCAGGCCTCACCTGGACCCGCCACAGCGCACGTACTGGGGGAGGGGGAGGGTGGAGCCCTCTGTCCCGCTGGCAGCTCGGCCCCTCCCGGCTCCAGGGGACGCCCACAGGGCTCCTGGGAGGAGAGCCAGCGTGTAGCCTGGAGCTGGACTGGGGGCGTTGGGGGGAGTGGCTGCCTGCCTCCCCCGTGGAGCCGAGTGGCCGGCTGCCGCCGGGGGTTGGACGCAGGCTAGGCCACAGTCTGGCGGCTGAAGAGGTCGAGGGTGAGGGCACTGAGGAAGGCCGGGATGCTGTCTTGCCGCAGCAGGTGCAGCTCGATGAGCTCCTGCACAGAGCTCGAGAACGCCGTCTCCAGCAGCTGCATCTTGGCGCCCGACGGTCCTGTGGCCTGCGAGGGGAGGCGGGACACAGGGAGGACAGTGGTCAGCATGGTGGCGGCCTGGGGCTGCCCCTTCCCTGCCTCTAGGGCCCCCCCATGCCAGGACAGGGAGCAGTGGAGATCCTGTCCCATGATGCCCCTGGAGGGTTGCTGTAGGCGGGGGTCAGACAGGTGCAGCGCTGCCCCCATGCCCAGTGAGGCTGGGTGTCTCCCCCTTCCCAGTGGGCAGTGGTCTCACCCATGTTTGCGGGATCTAGAAGACCGCTCCTCCCGGTTGGCCCGTCCAGCCCTCCCCGTCCTCAGACCCCGGCGCATGAGGACAGCTGCCTGCACGTTCCCCAGTGGTGCTGGAAGGCTGCGAGGCGCTCTGGGGGGGCGACACCCCCTCCTGTTCCTCAGATGAACAGCCCAGGGGATGTAGGCCGTGCCGGAACCTCATGCCCAGGGCAGGCATTGGCCATCTAGGTGGGGCGCGGGGCTGCCTCTAGAGTTCACATCCCATCTCTTCCCCATCACACCATACTGGCCACAGAAGAGGGGGTTCCCACAGGCAGCACTGCTGGGATAGTAACCCCGCTCAGGTGGCCTTGCTGACAATACCCCTCTGGGCTCAGTTTCCCCATCTGCGTAGTGAGGGAGCAGCAGTCTAGAGTCCTGCTGGCCTTCAGGAAGTGGCTGTGGGGGGGGTGGGGGGCCGGGCAGTCCCGGAGAACACAGGTGTGTGTGTGTGTGTGTGTGTGGTTCCAGCTTCAGGGCCTGGGGAGGGTGTGGAAGAAGACAAGTCTATCCCACGGTGACTGAGACCAGCCTCCAAATGCCTCAGCTCCAAGCACTGTGTGGGTCCCAGGGCAGGGCTCCCCAAAACGAGCTGGCTGTCCCCTCATGTGCAATTGGGGAGACCAAGGCCCCGAGAGCTGGCCCCCCCACTCCAGGTCACGGGGCAGGTCTGGGCAGAGCTGGGTCTGGGCCACAGGGCCAGCTCTCCAGGCCAGGTGCTCCCGGGAACAGGGTAGAGGACAGCCAGGGATTCTGGGCCGGAGTGTGGACAGAGACCTCAGGGTGCCTGAGCACTTAGGCAGGGGATTCCCAGTGCCCGGGAGACTCCCAGAAGCAGGGGAGGCTGCCTGACCACGGACAGCACCCTGCCCGCTCTGCTGTGGGCCCCACCTGGCAGGGAGCTGAGCCCGGGGAGTAGGAATGCCTGGGGCCAGTGCTAGCCCTCAGGAATGCCCCCTGGTGGCAGCAGGCTGGGGGGCGTCTGGGGGCTCCTGCCTGCCAGGTGGGCTGGGAGCACTGCCAGGGAAGGTGCGACTGTTTGCCAGACAGAACCCTGTGTCCCTTGAACCCCGTTCAGCAAGGTGAGTGGCAACAGCGGGGCGGCATAAGGGGTGTCAGGAGCTGAGTAGGGTCACTGGGGGGAACAAAAGAACAACTTCCTTCCCACTCTGCACGTGGAACCTGGGCAGCTCAGGGGTGGGCTGGGGACCACTGCCTGCTCTGAGGACCACGCTGCCCCCTGTCTGGAGAGTCCCCACTCTGGATGACGGAGGATCCCTCCTTCCTGGACAGCTCTCATGAGGAAAGCCTTCTCCCCTGGGAACCACCCCCGCCACGCCTGCTCCCTGGTGTGGATACCTCGGGTCCTAGGCCTGGACTGGCCTGTGAGAGGGAGGTGGGCTCCCTCCGAGAGCCCAGAGCCGAAGAGGGCTCAGCCTGCCCTCTGCCGGTGCTCCCATGAGCCCAGAGCGGCCCCCAGTGCTCCCCGCACTGGTTGCAGTGCGGACGAGCCTCTGCTCCCTCCTGAGAGTGCTCACCCCTCTCTGAGCGGCCAACCCTGGTCCCTTGTCCACTCCTACATTTAGCCTTGTCAGAGTTCAACACAAACCATTTTTAAACAAAAGTAAGAGAAACCACTCTGACCTTTTACCAAGAAAATCCTTTCATTTCTGCCTTCTGCTCAAATCTGGATTTCTTCCCCTAAATGTCACAGGGGCTGATTCTCTGCAGCTGTCGGGGCGGGGGGGCGAGAAGCCAACGCAGGGCAGGGGGGAGGTGAGGGAGGCAAGGGAGGCCGCGACGCTCTCCTGGCTCAGCGGCTGAGGGACAACCAGCTCCTAAACTGGGGACCTTCACTCTGCACCGCGGGCCTGCCCGGGACCCCTGCCCCCAGGATGGAGGTGCTCTTCCACCAGTTCAGTCCGAAGAGTGTCATTCTCTGCGTGCCTCCCCAGGTCCCCGGGGCTGCGGACATTGACCGGGCTTCGTTTGCACCAAACGTTTGTTTGCATCAAACGTCCCTCGTGGCTTCCAGCCCCGAAGCCCCATCTTGAGGAGCAGCACAGCTGAACGAGCCAGCACAAGGCCCGTCCCGGACGCATCATTCCACAGGTCTGGCATTCAGGAAGCGCCGACGGTCACTCTAGAATGCCAGGTACATGGCGACACTGGCTGTACCCAGGGCCCTGGGGGCCCCGGGCCTTGGGTGGCCTAGAAGGAGGTGTGACCAAAGCCATGTTCTCACCTCAACCCAAGTCAAGGCAAAGCCAAGCGTTTGCGACCCACCAGCCGCCACTGGCCGCACCTGCCCACTCCACGGTCGGAAGGGCCGAGTCCTCGCTCGGTGCGGCGCCATGTGGCTGCCAGAATGCGCCCCTGAACTTGTGGTGCGGATCCATCTCTGCCAGGCTCCGCTGTGTGCAAATACCACCCGGTCCCCAGGTACCTTGTAAATCACTCTAATTAGGGGCTGTTCACTTAAAATTAGAGAGCGATTTTTTAAAAAGCAAATTGCCCAGTAAGACGTGTTGGCTGCGGCTGGAAATATTTATGGGCTGACGGCTGTGTCTCTGCCTCCTCTGCCCCCAGCGTCCGGGATTGACAGGCTGCGGTGCGGCTGGCAGGCGCCCTGTGGCGCGAGGGGCCCTGTGCCACAACGAGGCCCGCGCTGCCCACGGCTGGCCGAAAGGCGCTCCAGCAGCCCAGACCTCAGCCGGGCCTCGCCTCGGGGCCTCCTCCTCCCTCCGGATGGCAGGGCAGGGCCTCCCTCCCTCCCTCCCTCCTCATGGAGCAGGTCTGTCCACCACGGCGTGTGTCTGTGGAGAAGGGCCAGTGCGGGGGAGCCGGGGGCGTCACGGGCAGGAGGGGTCCGCCGCTGCGGGTCAGCACAGGGGACGTGTGCGGTGCTCATGGGACGCCGGGCTCGAAACGGGTTTTTTAAACGCAGTCTGGCCACCCTCAAGTCTGTGGCATCCCAGCCGGCGGGCGCTTTGCAACCCTCCTCTCATGAGACGCCCTGAGAAGGGAATTGTCCGCCCGAAAAGAAGAGACAAGAGCTCCCCCCCATGGTCCCCTCCCGAGCCCCCCAACCGCAGGGGTGGTGAGCCCTGCAGGAAGGGCCCAAGCCTGAGGGCGCCTGCCGCATGCAAGCTCACCTTTTGCTTAGGGCACCGACGACAGCCCCGTGTGTGAAGAATCAGGACGAACTGAGATGAACCCACGGCAAGGGGTGGGTCCCCAAATTCTGATCTGAACAGACAAGACGTGCACAATGCAACAAAACTATAAACCAGGGAGCAGAAATGCTACTCCCTTAGGACACAGGGACCCGAGTACCATTTCTGCGAGACCGTGGCATCGTGCCTTGTCATGACAGCGTCCCATCGCCTCCCGGGGGGGGTGGGAAATGCAGGACGACCTGGAACACACTGGGGTCTGAAAACAGAGGGCGGCACATGTCACAGTGACTCAGGAACCTCAGCTCAGTGTGTGAGAGACACGAGAGGTCACGTGGCCCACTTCCGTGACCAGTGGGCCCAATGGGATGAGGCGTGCCATCACGCCTTGCGGGGCGCACAGGGCAGAGCCGTGGGCGACATGGAGCGCTGGGTGCCCTGCTAGAGAAGGGGGCGCCCAACCGGGCATTGAGGCTCTACCTCGGGAGACCAGAGGAAGAAGGGAAGAGTCGAGATCAAGGGGAATAAACAAAATTGAAAACAGGAGAGCGAGTCACGGAAACTAGATGCCGGTCCCTTGAAAAACAGCAAAAAAATGAATGGAGATAGGAAGAGAAAAGACAGAAGTTGCCAAAATCAGAAATGAGATCCTGGAGCTGTTACAAGAATAAGAAGAAAACACTACGAAAAACTGTTTATGCCCGTAAATCTGACAGCCGGGAACGGAGGAATCCCTTGAAAACCACAGGGCAGCAAAGCTCAGCCAAGAGGAAGTCGAGACCCGAGCAGCCCGACCGACCGCCACCGGAGAGACGGAGTTTGTCACTAAGAAGCTCCTCAGAAAGGAGCCTCCCATCCCAGATGGTCTCACGGGGAAGTTTATCAGAGATGTAAACGAGAGCTAACACCACCTCATGCGTCCCTTCCAGACCACAGAGCAGAGGGAAGGCGCCCTGCACAGAAGCATTTTCACGCAACGCCCATACACACAGCGGAGAAGGAAGGGTCCACACATGTGGTTCCCATGAACTCACATGCAAAAACCCTCACTGGATTTCAGCCAGTCGAATCCAGCAACGTGCGGAACAGGTGACCAGACCCAGCTCGGGCACCTCGTTTCTGCGTCAGGCTGGCGGGGTGAGCCGCTGGGATGACAGGCCAGGAGGGGCCGCAGGAGAGCCCCTGCCAGACCCCACAGCCACTCCCCATGAGACCCCTCCGCAGGCCGGAGTGGCACCAGCAGCGAGCGCATGGGGCTGGCGTGGTCCTGGTTCTGGGGACGCCACAGAGCTCCTGGAGACAGCCGCACCAGCAACACCCACCACCCCCAACATGAGGGCAGGAGCCATCCACGCAGGGAGGAGGCTCGCCTCTTCCACACACGGTTCTGGGGCGGCTGGACGTTCCTACTTAGACAAGCAAGAATTTTGACTTAAACCTCACACCTCACGCAAAATTTAGCTCAAAATCTATCACAGACTTAAACATAAAACATAAAAAAAACCCACAAAACCCCAACAGCAACAAAACTTAAAACAGAGAGAAGAAACATTTCAA